GGTGACATATGGGGAGGTGTTAACCACGTGTGAGAGGGATGAATGGACATAATAGAACGAATAACTCCCTACCTCTCACCCTGAGGGGTGTGGAGATGGATTCCACTTGCACACCGTACATCGAGAAACAGAGGCAAAGAATTATCCTTGTCTGAGAGAAAAAAAGACAACTAATTTCAATGTCAAGCCTGGTGGGGGGGTCCGTAGATGAAAAACTTTTTTGTTATGTGTCGCGCAAATGCATTTCCCACTGACTTGACTATTCCATTTTCACAAAATTCAATTCAAATTTGGAAAAGAAAAGTTTTGGCACCTTATCATTGAGATAAATTGTTATTTTAGACACCCCGGAGGTGCTGCGTGATTTGAAATTGGATAGTCTGCGCCTTCCACCCCTGCTGATGGATCAATGCGGGCAAAGATTCAGAATGTAACACTGTGCTGAAACAACCAGAAGACAAGGTGTGCGATACACACCGAGAGTCATATACACCTACGGGCCAGAACATTAAGAACCCCTCCACAGTGAAGGTCAAAATATGAGAAATGGGGCAAAGTGCAAATACTTTACGTGTAGGGTCAAATGAATACTTTGCTAGTCTGCGTCAACATTTTAATTGTGAATTCAGAATTGTGATCTTTGTCAAGGAAGATTTTCCCGATGTGCAGTAGCTCTTGTTTGATTGTGCAATTGCATCTGACGAAATGCCCAGAAGGTTTCTGGTGTCTTGTCACTGAGATGACGACCTTCTGTGGCTCCTTCATGGCACTTTGCAAAACTTCAACCCATTGTCAAATTGAAACACAAAAGTCTCTGAGATATACAGTAGTGAGTGTTACATACCTACCAGTAATGCATCCCCTGGATGTACTGAGCCTATATGTATATGTGTGCAGAATATAGATAGTCACAAGCAAGTGTAGTGGCAATTAGAAGAGCTCTTTAGATGCGGTGGAACATCTGTTAATTTTGTGTGCCGGCCTGTCCGATCGTCTCTTTGAAAACCACCTGGGAGTTGCTGTCGTGCAGCACCAGGTGTCCAGGTCAGCTTGCGTATGTGGATGATCGCTAATTAGCAAGTGTCCCTTTGCCCACTTCCAGATGAGGGAAAAGAAGTTCAAAAGCTTTTGACATTTGAAAAATAAAAAAGTGGGATCAGATATGCTTTCATTTGACAGATCTGTCCTTTCGATTGTATATTTTGCAAAAGTATTTGACGCAACAACACAATGATTTAATGTCTCTATGTCTATTTGCTGCCGTTCCTAATTTTAGCTTATGATGTATGTATTACATTTATGACTTTGACAGGCTCCCAAGCCTACATTCCACAGAGTTCCCTATCCCGGAGAAAATGAAGCAAAGACGAGTTTCTCACAGTTGTCTGATTTGTAATCAACTGATGAGCCACAGCTCGCGCTGCGATTCTGGAACATGTTATGTATTTTATTTATATAAAACACAAAAACAAGATGGCCGACTTAATGGATATTACAGAAAAAGTAGGTCAATAGGCATCGGGCAGCGGGCAGGGCATCAGGGCAAATCAAAATAGAATTTTGTGGATGACCTCATCATCTGCCCCAGACAGTGAATGTGATGAAAATATCTCCAGGATGAAATCAACAAATCCGAGCCAATGGAAAGCAGGCTTCTTCCAGCTCCGCCAGGGAGCAGAAAACGCAGACGGAGCAAGTCGCCCACACTTTGAGAGAGTCGGTCTGGACTGCAGACCCGTGCGGCTGCTGATACTTTTGACAACCTCCACTGTGTTCATGATCGGAGTCCACAAAAAGCCTCCAGGTTCCCCAAACTTCGGCAGTCTCTGCTGTCAAAAGACCAGGCTGGCCAACGCAGTGAAAAGGTTGCGTGGAAAGTTCTTCTGTCATGAAATAAAGATTTTGCAGTATTGTTGGTGGTCTGGAAAAGAACACCCGATGTTCTGACCCTATTATTCATGTGAGCTTGTTGAACACGTGCTCGCTGTGTCACTTGTGAATTATGCATTAGTTTATGCATTTATGCATAGAAGCGGTGAACCGGGCAGCTTCGATGTTAAACACTTGGATTCATAAGAGAGGTCAATGTGGCGGCTGCATTAGCCGAGTAACATCCCAGCCCAAATGTTGTTGAATGGCTGCGATTTGGTTCAACTGATTTTAGGTTGCCCGCAGCCCTGTTACGATTTCATTGAAGCCGACTCTCTTTCGCCCCAGAGATGTTCCACCAATGGAAAGTCATTTGAGAAGCAGCCAAACCAACTGTGGCTCCCCTCCCAAATGTTGGCAGGAAGCTCAACACATTTCCTCCTTCCTAATTTCCCAGACCGTGTGTGCGCGCGCGCAGGCACACACACACACACACACACACACACACACACACACACACACACACACACACGCACGCACATTATTTACCTGACTCAAAGTGTCAATAAGAAGACTTTGGTCGACAGCCATTTGCATTTGCCCTCAGCTTCTGCCTTCATTCTGCCTGCCTCCCGCCCCCTTTTCCCTTTCCCTCTCTCAATGTTTCTATCACACTCTGTTCAGCTATTCTTAGTGCCCTTTGTTTTTGTTTACCCCCCCCCCCTCCTCTGTTGATCCGATAATAACTGTTAGTTGCTGTCTTGAAAAGAGGAGTCATCCTTTGACATGAGCCACTCTCGATAACACTTACGGCAAAGTTGTCTGCGTGCATTTCCGAACCGCAAGACACCCAAACTCATTTTCAGCAGCCGGTTGTGAATGCAGGCATGAGCTATTTATAACGCGACAAAGTATGTTTCTAATGGCTTTCGTGACACGAGTTCCCTGCTCTGAACTCACGTTCATATTTTAAATCCTAAAACAAAGTCCAAGGTAGTATCATTTTAATAAGATATAGGCTGCAAACCCAAATTATACAGGGCTGTGCTTGAGCCCTCATTACTTTGTGTGTGTGCGTGTGTGCATGCATGTGTGTTGCCATGTCGTAACAAGCCGAGAAAATACGCCATACACTTTACTTGCTCTCCATGAAGGGCACTGCAGACTACTTCCCATGCAGAAACACACCCAAGTTATTGAGCCAAGGTGCTCTTGATTTATTTATTTGACTCTGCGAGTGGGCTTGTGACACAGCATAATATGTCTAAGCAGCCAACTGGCCGAGCCCTCTTACACACTCTCCCAAACACAAACATGCAGACGATGCAAACAATAGTCTCCCACTCTAAATCTGACTCTCACACTCCGGTGCACACAATACGATGGGCCGTGACAGAGAGCTATGGACTGCATCTACTTGGCCTGGCACACCGCATTTCTCTCGGCATGAAAGCTAATGTACTGGAAGAAATGAGTGTGTTTGTTGCTTTTATGTGCGTTTATGTCAGAGTGATAAGATTCTTACTGTCCTTGTAGAAAAAGAAACAAAAAAAAAGCTGACCGCAGCTTCCTTTCATGGCGACATGGAAACAATTTTTGCTCACATATAACAGCAATAAAGAATCCTTTTTGATCGTTGCCAAATGTTTTGGTTTTTTTTTTTCTCCTTCGGACCTATTGCCATTCCGGACCATATCGTGACTCTCAACCAGGCTGCCGTGGCACAGTAGTGTGCATTGAGAGCTCTGTCTGGGTGCCACAGAAATTCATTTGCAATAGATGTGTCCTTGGCTCATAAAGGTAGAGAAATATTGCTCCAAATCAGGGATGTCCAAACTATGGCCCAGAGGCCATTTGTGGTCCCTTCATCCGTTTTTCAGTGGCCCGCGACATATATTAAAAATGACTTCTGACACGGCCCACGAGGCTAGTTAAAAAAAATAAATAAATAAATACATAAGTAAATAAAATAAAAAAGGGTGGCGGGGGGCAGAGTGAGAAAGTAGGGTGTCGAAAAGAAATACCTACACAAAAATAAATGGATTCACATTTTGCACAGCTTTTTGTAGATATGCAAAAAAAAAACAAATGAACTCCTGTATTTTTTGAATTGTTCAATTGATTGCTGAGCACATTTTGAAGCCATCTGCTCGCCAAAACAGCTCCAACTCCAATGAAGTGTGATGAAGGTCGGAAATGGGTTCCCAAGCGGTGTTAAAGATGAGCTTATATTGTGGCGTTAACACACTGAAAATGTTTACCAAGTGCACTTGAATAGAAAATTGTTTTTTTTTTCCCCTCTTGCAACAGATTAACATGCTAAATTATGCACTTCAGCAGTCATAAAGCACAAAGTACTTTGAAGAGTTTGTAACTGCTTTCAAAATGCAATTTGTTCCACATTACCATACTGACTTCTTGAAAGCTTGTTTCTCAGCCATAGTGCACACCAGTACAGATACTTGACTGAATTTTCAAAGCTTTGTAAAAATTACAGTGTTATTCAAGAAAGATTCAAACACGGTTGACTTTTGACTCTTAATATGCAGTCTGTTTTCATAAGAACTCAGAGCAATTCTGTCCAAAATGCATCTTACACTTAGAAAAGTGACCGTCGTAGAATTGTTTCAGTCGTTTTTGAGAAATGTCCTGGTCTATATTGTACATGTGACAGTTTTTTTTTAGTAGCGCGTACAACAGGAATTTTCCAGTCATTGTGACACTCATAATTAAGTAAAGGCAGTTTACCACTTCTGAAAATATTGCAATAACTTAATACGGTAACCTTTCTGGAGATGCTAGAAGGAAATACGATACGGACGAACTCTACCAAACACAATTTTATGCACACTTTACTATTTGACTGCCAAAAGGACTTATCACAATGTTTCCACATGACTCGTCAAATGTCTAACAGGTAGCTCATTGCAACCTTCAGCTGTGCTCATGTGTCTTCTGTTTTTTGGGATTTTTTTTTTTTTTTTTTTTTTTTTTTAGTAGTTAGTGGGTTATTGTGAGTTTAGAACAAAAAACATCTGCAAATACCCTTACTTTTTCTGAATTCATCCACATGTTTTATCCCCCCCCCATCTTTGCTTCCCTGATTCTAAATCTCATTTCTCTCTTCACAGCAAAATGTGACAATGCACTGGCCTCCCCATTGCCGCACACAGCCTTCTCCAGCTCATCTGTCTTCTCAAATGGATATGCACCTGGTTATGCAAAGCTCAACAGGCGAGGAGGTAAGGCTGACACAAACACACGCGCACACACACACACACACACACACACACACACACACACACACACACACACACACACACACACACTTCGTGAAACTTGCAGCACACTTCTATTCATCTGATGTTAAAAGACGCTGTTGTGTTTTCATTTCATTTCATTTTTCAAATGCATTGCTTGTTAAGATTGCGACATTATCTTGTCATCCAAGACTGAATCTCAATTCCCAGGGGAAAAAAAAGAGGAAAAGAAGAGAACGTACCCCCATCCCACCCTAATCATGTTTTAATCACTATTTTTTTTCATTACATTTGGCATTTAAAGGAAATTGAAACGAACCAATCAATTAGCGCATTGGTGAACAAGAAGTGCATTTGGAGTTTTGATTCTTTCTTTGTCGGATCCAAACTCCAAAGTGTTTATGGAGGACAACCATGAAGGAGCACCAAAGAATTCTCAACCGAGTACATTTGCATCATGGCACATTTGCTACTTAATCCTACCTTGTGCTAGACTCACCCTGACAGAGAGAGTTGCCCATCACATGCCAGAAACGTTTTTTAGAAACAGCTAGATGAGCCGCACATTGGGAATCACATGATCTGCCCCTCTCCGCACAAGTGCGCTGCCAATCCAAGACGCATGCCTTGCGGATACCGGTTAAAAGAGAAGAAGGATGAAGAGCAGGGAAGTAAATGAGAGGTGAGGGAATGAGGGCTTGTGGCAAATTGCAGAGAGGACACAGAGGAAATGAAGATGAGGAGGGGTGAGAGGGACAGGTGCCTTCCTTGGGCCGCTGGCTAAAATAAGACAAGATTAATGGCGAGCTTGTTGTCCACATTTATGTCCATCACCACAACAATAAAAGTCATGTCAAGTATTATTAAAGGCAGCGCTATAAATGGGCCGGGAGACAGCCGTACAAAGTACTGGCGCTTCTCAATTTTAGCCCGGAGGGTACTGAGACTTTTTAGGGCAGACTGGGATTTCGCATGAGCCCACGGTACCCTCTCGTTTGATTTCTCTCTCTCTCTCTCTCTCTCTCTCTCTCTCGTTGTCATTTAGACATGTTCAAGAAACTGCAAAAATACTCATAACCTAACGCATCACCAACGCAAAGGCTAAGTTCAAAATAAAAGCTTTCCAAATATGACATTGATGTCAGTGCCATCGCCTTCATAGGTTTTTATTTTGATTTTGGCTCGCTCGACTTGTCTTTTCGACATTCAGGCTGGCCTTGTCACAGTTTGGATCGTTTTGTGTAGTTTCGTCATGAACATCGCGGCTCACCAGTTTTCTCGGGTTTTGGTCACGTGACGTTCGCATTCTGATCCCTTCGGCACTGTGATGTCATTTTCACTCGACAGCAAGTTGCAAAATGGCCACCGCCCACTGCGATGGATGAAAAGGTGTGGATTTTGCCGCGCGAGTCAGATGGCGCAAATGTCGTCATCATCAGAAAGCCGTGTCAAAACGCGCGCTTGAGTTATGCAAACAACTTCATGCATGTGTACTCTTCGACCTTCTAGATTTCGGATTGCAGAAAGAGGCCAAGCATGACATTGCTGTGGCTAATCCCTTAAATTCCATTTCCTTCTTGTCGCCCGTCTTACTTTACTCATTCAACTGTGTCTTTTTCCTTGACCCCGTCGCCGTCTTTCCATCACATCCATTTCTTTTCTGTTCTCCAACTCATCTTGCTCTCGCCACTTTCCATTTTCGAAAATTACATTCTCAATCCCACTTGCTGTTTTCTCCCTAGAAGTGTAAATAGACTTTTTTTTTCTTCCTTCTTTTCCTACCCCTCCCCAAAACATTTCATTTATTGAAACGAGTGACATCACTGCGGTCCAACTGTGCTGTTACTTCTTGACAATTATCCCCATCCATCTTAGTTATTGATTTTTTTTTTTTTTTTATCTTGCGTGCCATCTTGTAAAGTTGTTTGATGTCCTGAGCCATTGCACTCATCCGTCGATAATGGCGGGCCGCTTCTAATTAAATTACTGCGACTCCATGTGCTCCGTGTGCTCCGTGACAGAAAGATGAAGCGCTGGCAAGAGGGCAAAGCAGCTGTTGACTCTCTCTCGGGATGCTCGCGACACAATTCATTTCCAGGATGACTCTGTGTTAATGTTGCTACGTGAAGAACTTTGGAAAAACACCCCCCCCCCTCACCGTCAGACAAAAAATGGATGAAGCCCGCTTGTGCAAAAACACACTTTTTGCATGCATCAATGTATAATTGAGTAAAATAGTCTTAAATTCTCAGCTATATCAGGATACATCATTTAAAACATGCAGGCGATGTCGTACCTCACCAAAGTCCAAACTGAAAAAAATAGTGCTCATGCCCAATGAAAGTGACAACAACAACATTTGATGTTCCCGCTCTACTTTCTACTCATTACATTGTGTCCAGCCCCTCACCGTCAGACACAAAATGGATGAAGCCTGCTTGTGCAAAAACACACTTTTTGCATACTTCAATGTATAATTGAGTAAAATAGTCTTCAATGCTCAGCTATATAAGGATACATCATTTAAAACATGCAGACGATGTCGTACCTCACCAAAGTCAAAACTGAAATAAAATAGTGCTCATGCCCAATGAGAGTGACAACAACAACATTTGATTTTCCCGCTCTACTTTCTACTCATTACATTGTGTCCATTTCTATTCAATATAAATTCTTCATCCCAGCAAGTTCAAATCCAGCAGTACTTTGCATTGACTGTTTAATTCCTACACTACAGACAGGAATCCGAGCCCAACTCACCATCAGTGCGGTTATCGAAGAACATCTTTTGCAAAACCGTCAGCATATATTTGGACCGCTCAGGACAAGAATGAAGGAATATTTTCTCATATTAAAAAAAAAAAAAAAACCAAATTCTTCGTCCCAGCAAGTTCAAGTCCAGCAATACTTTGCATTGACTGTTTAATTCCTACACGACTGACAGGAATCCGAGCCCAACTCACCATCAGTGCGGTTATCGAAGAACATCTTTTGCAAAACCGTCAGCATATATTTGGACCACTCAGGACAAGAATGAAGGAATATTTTCTCATATTTAAAAAAAAAAAACAAAAAAAAAAACCTCAAAACAACAAAGCAGAGCTGCATCCTTTCTTTTATGACAGCCTGTGGAGTTGCGACATGTTAAACTTGTTTCCAAGCATCACAATAATCATGTTATTTCATTCGTCACTCTGAAAGACGTTTGCAGGATTTGCGCTGACCGCCAGCTGTCAAAGATTCTTTTTCATCCGGGCGCATATCTGTCTTCCAAGTTAAATGCTCTGCGGAGAGTTCAAATGTTTTTCTTTCCTCTCTCTGGGGGACAGTCCAATAATTGTACCGCACCCCCAACGTGTAGGAACCCAAACCGTGTTCACACTTAAACTCGCCCTTTTCCCTCATTCTTCTCTGCCAGAAGCATTTTCCGCTCGGTGATTTGTTGTCTTAGGTTAGCGCCGGTCATTTCTCTCTCACAAGAAACAACAGAGAAGGCAGTCAGCTTGACAGCCTAACAAGAGATGAACAAAGGCAAGAAACGCCGGTGGTGAAACACGCCGAGGCAGTGCAACTCTGTTTGATTCCAGTTGAAAGGAACCAAAGGGAGCTTTCATAGCCTTCCTTGAGGTCGGCTCTAATGACACAGCCGAGGGTTTCGTCAATGCCGCGAATTGAGACATCATGACGGGTGATCTGCCCTCGCTCTACCGGGCGTGAGGTTTTGGAAAAAGCTGTCACTTTTAAGAATCATCCCATACAATTCCACTTGGATTGGCCAACGTATTCCCCTATTCTTTAGCGAGTCTTCAGGCCAGAAATCCTCCTGATGTTAACTTGACAGTCTTGAATTTGCAGTGATGTGGCGCGACTCGGTTTCACATTGAGAGGTGTTGGCAATCTAAACCCAGCATGCGAAAGCAAGCAATTTGATGGAGCTCTAACACGGAATCATAGGCGACGTTCACACCGCAGGCCGTTCTGGCTTACGAGTTGCTGGTTTTAAAATGAGAAACGTTCGCACCAAAAAAAAAAAACATGCATATTGTCTTTGATATGACATGAAAGGGACAGGAGGGCGCAGATGGAATGATCAGTTAAAATCAAAATAGAGAGGAAGGTCTTCACCACAGCAACAAGTGAATCCCAATTTCGTTGACAATAAAGGTTCTAATTTAAAAAAATCTCAATTTTTATTTGGCCCTACACACTGTATGGCGTCTTTTCAACTTTCCCCCCCTTTAGTCTGTCAACCTCTTGTCATTTCCCTCCATTCTCCCGATGGCGCTCACCTTTGACCGCACCTCTTGGCTCTTCTTTCTGCAGACCTCTCTTTCTCCAACCGATGCGAGCATTTGCCCATTTCGTTCCTGGACCGCTTCTTTTTCTTGTGTGCCTTTTCTAAACTCCCACACATCCTTACAGTTTTCTCCCGCTGACATGTAACGGTCAATATTAAATTCAATCTTGTATTCGTTTGTTGACTTACGGTATGCATTCTTCCTGATCTTTTTCCATCACTCATCTCCATCTGTGTGCGCGCGCTATTTTTTCTTCCCCAATCATACCAACCAACGCAACGTACGGTTTAAAAGTACTCAATTATTCGTGAAACCAAAATGACATATTTGTGAGGATTTTCAGCGTACAAATGCTGCAGTTACTCGATGATCATTCCTGTGATGTCTTCATCAATCAGCCAGAGAGCACAAAGTGAAAGAAATGATTTTTTGCCTCTAAATGTCTTCATTCGCTAAAGTGTTTTGGAGATAACTTGTGTTATTCTCTTAATCATAAATGGCTCTTTTGTATCTCCGAATTTTGAGAAAAGTTGGTCAACAAATTTAGTAGTAGCGATGGCACCTCTTTTTCTGCCAGCCTCCCTTCTCCCTCTGCCCACCTTCACCTTTTTGATGATAATAAATATTTGTGTCTTGGTGCACACCGCACCCTAAGCATCCTATCAGCGACTTTATTAACGGACTCTCAGAATGCGGCAAAAGTTTCCAACAAGGTGAGGTTGAACTTTGAATGAAAAGACATTCAACTCTGGCAGCGGCCGTCCATTTATCATCACTTCTTGTTGAAGCGCGGGCAGTCATGGTTTGCGACTTTGCATTCGCTTGCGCTGTCTCCTGCCTTTTAGCCAGAACTTTTGCAATTTTCGTTTTGTGTTTCACGTGATTTGAAGCACCCGCGTTCTACTCGATGTAACCTCTCTCATCACTTTGGAATGGGCTCATTTGGGCTCTCCCTCGCCCAGGTTTCTCATTCTTTCATTTTTGCCTTGCGCTCCCGTCGCCCTCTCTCCACTTTTGCCCTCATCCATCATTTTGCCGGAACAACGCTCCCTTTTTCTTTCCCTCTTCCGTCCCATCCGCTTGCCGTCTCATCTCTTGCCTCCCCACAAAACGGAAGCCGTAAAACCTGCGCTCCTTCCTCCCTTTCCATGGCTTACCTCATCCATCTCTCTTACGCTAATCTTCCATGTCTTCAGCCTCCTCCCCCTCCTCCTCATCAATGCACCATCTTGCCAGTCACCCCAACTCTGCATCCTGGCATCTTTCTCAAAGCGTCACATCGCCTCGGCCATCGTCCACTCCGCTAACTTCAATGTCGCCTTTGTTTACCCTTCACTGTCCTGCTAACTCCACCCCAAAAAATTCTCTCCCTGCACCCATTAACCCTCTTTTTTTTGTGTGTGTGGTTTTTTTTTTTGTGTGTGTGTGGGCGGGGGGGGGTGTGAAGGGCTTTGAAGCAATGGTTTTTGAGGTATTGACATTCCACAGATACTGATCCAGTTTATCTGTCAGGGCCGCAGCGCAATAGCTGTGTAATTGGATAAGATACGTGTATTGGATTTTTGTCATCCCTGTTCGGCTTACACTATTTTATCATGTGACATCATCGCTCATGTCCCCTTCACATAGCTTAATAGCTACTCCCATCCTTGTTTTCTCTATGCCTCCCTCCTTCCCGCTTTGACCTTATAAAACCAGTTTCAATTGTCAGTTTTTGTAGAATTGCGACATCATTATCTGTTTATATTCTTGACAAAACAGAATCCAACACTCATTGTAGAATGACTATAAAAAGGCCATTTTTTTTTGGGGCGATTCATCACCCACTCACAATTGTGAATGTATACGTGCACATTTGTCTGCCTATCTTTGGCACTAAATGAGTTCCGGGGGGCTTCTTACAACTGTATGTTAGTGGGGCGTTCAACCAGAACCTGATTTAAAAATGTCCTGAACTCTTCAGGTGCAGGTGGCTGGTCCCCACTCGATAGCGATCACTACCAGTGGCTGCAGGTGGACCTGGGCTCCCGAAAACAACTGAGCGCCATTGCCACGCAGGGTCGCTACAGCAGCTCCGATTGGACAACGCGCTACCGTCTGCTCTATAGTGACACGGGAAGGAACTGGAAACCTTATCACCAGGATGGCAACATTTGGGTGAGTACTGCATCGTTCGTGTTTGTGTCATTCTAATCCATCCGGTTATCGCCAAAATTTTTTGTGCCGCAGAGAGGTACTGTATATCCAAACTTCGCAAACTGGCTTCCATTCAGTGCTGGGGTGGGGTCAACAGAGCTTTATAGGTCGACAACAGTACGGCTAAATCTACAAAGTCAAATAGGGTATTCTGAGGTGTCAGTTTAACGCTGGTGTTGAGCCCGGACAGAATCGAATTGAGCACAGTCACAGCGGAACTCAACCGCTATGGGAATTGTTGGCGTGATAGGACGTTCGAGGACATTGTTTTCATGCCTCAGATATGTCGTCAGGAGACTGGGAACGGCAAGATATAGCGCCGCACATAAGATCAAGCAACGCCAAGCCACACTAGAGCACAGTGTAAATGTGAAAAGTAAGCACGCTCTAAAATTGCACAAACATGGACAAATGACCACCAAAAAAAAAAGAAAAATGGCTCGGCTGCAAACATTTGTCCTCCTTTTATGAGTATCCGAGGCCAATAATTATGTTTAGTTGGTTACAGAATATCAGCAATGTTTGTTTGGTTGTTTATTTTATGTTGGTACTAAGCTCAGCTTGTGGCCCTTCAGGTCTATTCGGGATGGAATATGTGCACTTTTTATGGCTCAAAATAAATGAAGCTGTTGTTTATGTGTTCTGCATCATAACTATTAGCCATGATTATATATTTCAAAGTGTTGGCGTTTTGCTATTAACCTTGATTCATTGCCTCTGCGATTCCTGCAAATGCTCCAAAACGCATTCATCTCCCCGTTGTTTGGGGAAGCGACCGCTTGCTCTTTATGTACGACACAACACATAATGTATGTACACATTGCCTTTCCCATTCATTGCCTCGTAGATGTAAAAACAGATCAAATACATACAAGGACGTTCAGTAAGGCCCAACTGCGAAAAAAGGGGATTGCGTGTGTGGGTGTGTGTATGAATGACAGTCGCCACTCTTTATCCATGCCTCTTTATCCATTCGTCCATTTTCTGGGACTCCCATCCTTCACTAGGATCAAAGGTGACCCTGATCCTCTCCGAGCGGACTTTACTGTGAGAGGCGGCCCCTCGGGTGAACGAAACAGACAAATAAAGTCGCCACAAGAGTTTGTGACATTGTGAAAAGGAAATCACTGCCTACCTTTGAGGAGACCTGACATGGAGGCACGGCACGCACTCTTGCAGCGTGATGCTTGAACATGACTATCGTAGCTCACCTGTAGCGTTTGAAAATGCTTCTCCTGGCGCTCAAGATTCCCATTCTTGTCAACGGTGAATTGTACATGAAACAAACTTGCAATGAGAATTAAAAAAAAATAATAATGGTATATGGCAGCCAGTCGCAGGACACATAGCGCCAACCAACCATTGGCATTCACATTCAGACGTATTGCCAATTTAAAGTCTTCATTTGATCTATCATGCATGTTTTTGGCATGCGGGAGGAAGCCAAAGTATCCAGAGAAATTCCAGGCAAACTACTAAGAGCTGTCAAGCCGTTGTGCTTCCCACTTGCCCGTCACGCCTCCCACGACTATTTTTTTGAGGTTATAATTGGGGGCAACTGCTGCTGAACTTATCATGCATTGTTTGCATTAAAATGAAGGGGAAAGAATGAGCATACTCACCAGGGTCTTGTGGCTCCATCACCGCCAATCCGACGTGGGCCGGATAAGGAAGCGTGACTCCTCAGGAATGAATGCCCTTTCCTACAATGGACTATGTCATTGTATTGGCTTAGCGATTCCCCGAGGAAGATCGCTGATAAACAGTTCATAATTGCTTTTGTGAAGCTGCGGAGTCATAACGACATTGACGAATGAGTATGGTAATTTAAACACCATTTGCACCATTGAGTAGGTTGTCATGGCTTCATAGGCGGAATGTATGTTGAGCAACAATTCCACTACGCATCCCCTTCACAAGCTGTGATTTGTGCACGTGCGGGGTTTTTTCTTCTCACTGACGTCCTACAAGTGTTGTCAGTCAGGTGGGGAACAGGACCACCGAGGTGACATTAACCTGAATGCAATCGACAGTGAACATGAAACAAAAAGTGCACTCTTGGAATATATTTGTCCATTTCCTTTTTGTTGACTCTGCTGTCCGTAAGACATTTTGTTTTTTTGCACCATTCAATGCTTGTCAACTGCTGTCCCCCCGATACCCGCGTCTTCCTGTGAATGCAGAGTCGAGCCCCACTTTTATGGAGGTTAATAACAATGAAGCATTTTTCTGCTTGTTTGTTTGTTGAAAAATAGCCTAGTTATGGTTTCAAATGATGTTTGAAAAGAATTTGACTATACCGCCAAAGGCATAATGTTGCCTATCGACGACACTGTTCGTAAAGTCAACTAGTGACGAGAGGACAAGTGAGCAACGTTTCCTGTCGCTAAAATGTAGACATTTGGTAGTCCTCTGTATTGTACTCGTAAACGTCAGACCAGAAATACGGATCATTTTGTTTCCTTCAGCCACTTTTGGGTCAGACAGATGAGAATCCCTTACATAATGCCCGCTAAACATCTTGAACAGTGATTTTGCCTTGATTGTAAAAGGATGCAAATCCTTTGGTCATGAAAAATGCATCAACATCGTTCCATTCAAATAACATGAATTTGGTCCGGCTAATTCCAGCATGCCCCCCTTCCTCTTGTGCGCTGTTGTTCGGTCTGGGTGAGAAGCTTGAAGTTGTAAGTCAACCTGCCCACCCGACAGTAATGTATGTATCTAATAAACCGGCCCAGCCGCAGCCACAACTCTTAAGCCCATCGTGCATCAAACGGGGACACATTAATAATGCTTTGTCAGCATTCCAATGAAAAATAGTCCTGCATGCATTTTGCCGCTTCGTTTAACTCAGAACGATTGTCTGCCGTGATTTGTTTTGTTTCCTTCCCTTTGCTACAAATCGGCACCGACATGATTTGCTGTCCATCAAATGTGTTTTTGAAGTGAATTAAATCTTGCCCACGTGAATGGTATTTGCTTTTCACCACAACAAGGACAAGTCATGGTAGCACTTACTGTAAATGCGTTTTCCTCAAATGGAAAAAAATCCAAAGGGAATGTTTAGTTTTGGTTTGGGTTTTTTTCTTCTCCCGTTTCCGGTCAGGGAGGGTTGAAGGGAAAATATTTTGAGATGAGCAGAGGCGGCAGGCCCAAATAATGTTTCAAGCATCTGCTCGAGGAAACACATTAGTGTCCTTGTTATCTTGTCAGGTGGCCTCTGATCCATTTGGCCCACGCGCCAAGAAAACAGGGCAGAAAGCAAGTGAATAATAGTTAGCATGAAAGCTCTCAGCATCCTCCAAACAAGCCTCAGTGCAACTAATGCGTGTGTCATTGCTAGATGCAGACTTTAATTTCCACATCTCCACAGGTGGCCTGTCGAGCATGTCCCTGAATCTTTAAGTGTTCGCCTTTATGTAACAACCTCAGCGGTGCAGCAAACAAGCGATTCTTCTTTGTCTTTTCTGACCATTTCGATGCCTTGTTACGTTGGTCTTTTTTTTTTTTTGCTTTGGGAGTGCAGGCCTTGTCTTACACTCTCCTTTTGGAAACACATTCATGCTAAATTCCCTCTCCGTATGTTTTTCTGTTCTCGTCGCGTTCCTCATTCCTCTTTTGTTGTACGCTTTGCTTTTCACGGGAATTGACTTTTGCATCCCGTCTGGTTGATTTTTATCGGCCACTGTCTGTGTTGTAAACCGATTTCAATGAGACAAAAGGCCGGGTATATCCAAGTGTCACGGCCTACCTATGCAGCCTCACGTGAGTCTGTGGTGAAGAAAATGTATCATTTGACTTTATACCAGCAGTTTCTAATGAGCTTTCAGGTGTCTTTTTTTCCAATTTCCAATGTCGTTTCCATTTCAGTTGGAGTTCCTTTGGTAGTGTTCGTTCACTTTATTAACCTTGGCTCGCAGGCACGAGCGCTGATATGCAGCTGTCCTCAGAGCTTGTCTATGTATAAACGTGACTAAGTCATGTCTGTTCTCTCAAGGACACCCTGCTCGACTCTGCTTTGTCAGGTAAATGAATAGCGAAGTCTTGAATAGTGCGCGTCTCAGTGGTGGATGACTAATTAAGTTAGAAGAGCTGCAGAGTGTTTACTGATAAATCACACATACACATACACACACACACACACACACACACACACACACACACACACACACACACACACACACACACACACACACACACTCACACCGGGATTATTTAATTATTTTTGGGCTGCATTTGACTTTATTCCGTTGCTTTTCCTGCCTTTTTATCTTTTCATCGAGCGTGCCAGTCTTTTTTAAACAGCGCATTGTGTTCTGCATCCTGATTGACTAAGGGACTATAGACGAATGTCAACTGTCTCCACTCTTCATCGGTGTACAAAACCCACAATGTCAATGAAACATTCTGTATAGTATTTCTAAAAAACTTCAGTTGTCTGTAAGAATATATATATATATATATATATATGTAAGGCTTGAAGGTTGAATCTTTGGTTTCATTCAATACAGTGTTGTATTGGTCACAATTGCAAAAACTAAAGATGACTTCACAGATTTCACTTCTCACAGGTTGGAACTCAACCCCTGCAATAAACAAGGGCTTGCAGTACTGGTGAAAACTTGTAAAAGCTACTAATCCTATCTCTTGGTTTCTACGATCAGTAACAAGTCTTCACAATGTGCTCGTACAGGATTGATTCAACCGTAGGTGTTCATTAAGAGTTGGATTAAGTGACTCATGAAAGTTCAAGCCGTCCAGTAGAACGTAACGTAGTTCTGACCCCGAATGGTGGCGCTCCATTAAATTTAGAATGACCACACTTTGGCCCCAGTTTCATAACAGACAAAACCATCCTGAGAGATAAACAGAAACTACCATTTCTTCTATGGCCCATCTTTGTCCCATACACATGTCGATAAAAACAAAAGACCAGACCAGGTCACACTGATTTCCCCTGGCACCGTTAGGGAAGCTTGCACACAATGGCCGAGTGGCCCGAGCGGTCCAAAGCGGTTGAATGTTCCAGCAACAGCAATTAAATGCCAGAAAAAGGCTTTCAATCTATTTTTATTTTTCTGCGACTGGAGAGTCTCTCTAATGTTAAACAAAAACAGAAAAAAATGGCCACTGAGATACATCCGGCACAGTAAATAAAAGCTGACGCTCAAGTGCGGCCTCGGTGTCAACATTAACGAGTTTAGACAGACAATATAACACTTTTCTTCCTGCGATTTGTTGACCATCAGTTTTTATTTGCTCTTTCACCTGACACCACTTTGAGGCAAACATTTTCGTCTGTTTGCTGTTAACTGCTATAAATGCAACACTTTAGTTGTCACTTGGTAGAACTCAGTTTTTGACATCTGCAGATTTGAACATCTTGCAAACTCAGAGACCAAAAAAAAAAACTCCGAGTGGTCTGTTAGAGTCAAACCCAAAACAAAGATCGTGACAGGTCCCTTTTTGTCGCCATCTCGATAATGCGTGACTGAAGAGTACTTCGGCAGGACTGCAGGCCACTCACGCACTAACAAGAGTTGTTAGCGAGTCTGTTTCCCTATTTTGGAGTGCCTCCCAGGGAGAATTTAAACCCTTTGCCTAAACATAGAGCATCAAACATGCCGAGTGCCTCCCCAAAGAGCCGTATGCAGCGCCGTGAATGTGAAGCGGGGCACTAATATACAATTTGCCTCTATTTGTATGCGCAGTTAACCTTTCCTGGGTAAATAGAAATGTTAAAAATGATCGAGAAGGAAAAGCACCGGGGAAACAAACAGAAACTCCTCATCGCTGTTTTGGGGACGGTGCGTGCACAGTCGCTTTGAGCTTAGTTTGAACTTCGCCGGTTATCTTTTGGGGAGCATACAGTACTGGACACACATCGGTGTGGAGTCATTTGAAAGCTCTTTCTCTCCCTCCCTTTTCTGCCATGCATCTTATCTTGGGAGGTGGAGGGGGAGGTACGCGGCTTTCTTTTGTCTTTTCACTTATTGAGTGTTTCACAACTGCTTCAACCAAAAAAAAAAAAAAAAAATTAAATAAAACACTCTGAATGCGCATGTATACGAAATGCAGAAGGATGAAAGGTTGTGGTGTTTCTTGAGGCATTTTGGAATTATTTCAATCAAAGAGAAACGGGGTTGCAGGAAGAAGAGGGGGGATCCGATGATCCGGATGTAGGTTATAATTTGAATAAGTATTTGGACATGTACATCCTTCCAAGTATAAGAAATGAAACTGTTGCGGTTTTGTTTTGTTTTTTTGACACAGACACACGAATGTTTTGGATTTTGACTTTTGTTTTTGAAAATCCATGTCACCCCAGAGAGCATTTTTGGGTTGTTGTTTTTGCCATATTAGCTCAACGCCATCTTACTACCGTAACCCTGTCCAGGCCATCGTCTTTCGCTCCCTCTACCTTCTCACTTCCACAAAAGGAGCTCTCAATTTGCCACGCAGCTGTCCAGAGGGAGCGACAAATTTATCTTGAATGGTCACAGTTCAGCATTTTGCTGATATTGTTTCCAAAAACACCAAGGAAAATGTTCTGCGTGCCCCTTTTTCTGCTTTTCCGAAGGTCTCCGAATGCTGCTTTTTAGCAGAGACGAGAATACCGCAGTTGTCGTGTCAAATCATGAAAAAAACGTTTTGTGTTGAGGTTTTTAATGAAGCGGTGTGCAGTATTAATAACCGTTTTAAAGGTTGACCTGCCCAGACCACTCAGGTCTAATATTCTCAGGGACTGTCAACCACATCAGCCACGGGCACCCAATTAGTCTTAAGGGAGCCATTTTAAGTCAGGGAAAAGAACAGCCAGTTTCTTACGTGTACTTTCAGTTCAACAAGGCACAATTTCCACTTCAAAATCCCCAGCAGTCAGACTGGCTCATGGCATAATAAGACTCATATAGAGTCATAATCACGTGTGTTGTGTGAGCGTGTGCCTCCTCGGGGCAGGATGTGGTGAGCGGAACAAATACTTTTTTTGCTCTTAGCTCCCCAAAGCCTCTTGTTTGACCGTAGGCGTGCGGCTGGCTCCGATGTATTTAATTTCATCATGTGTGTGTCTGCGTTTCTGTGCGCAGGCCTTCTCTGGAAATTCAAACTCGGAGAGTGCAGTTCGGCACGAGCTGCAGCACGGAATCGTGGCTCGCTTCCTGAGGCTCGTCCCCCTGGAGTGGAGCAAAGAGGGCAGGATTGGTCTTCGCATAGAAGTCTACGGCTGTTTGTACTGTAAGCAGTCATTGTGCACACAAGCCTACTCCCATGAATTCTTTGCGGTCCTTGTCCATCCATCCGTCCATTTTCGAATCTGTTTATCCACGGCAGGGTAGCGGGCGTGCCGCAGCCTATCGCAGTTGTCTTGGGGCACGTAGACGAACAATTATCCCCGCTCACAATCACATCTAGATCTTTGTCTTTAAAAAAAACATTAAAAAAAAAAAACATTTACTCATTTCGTATGTCCGTTTCACCCAGAATCAATTCAGGATGATAAATCATTGCCCCAACAAGCAGCCTTTACCCCAGGGTTTCCTCGAGAGCCATATCCTGCCTGTTTTAGATCTCTCCCTACTCCAACTCGCCTGATTCAATCGATGATGGTTGTTTCAAGCTTCTATAGAGCAAGCTGATGAGCTGATCGTTTGAATCATTGCCTCCGCGACCCCACTCCCGATAAGCGGTAGAAAATGGTATGGTATCGAGAGTGACCAGAGTAGATGGAGAGAGAAATACGCCTTTGGGGCAGGGATGTTGACTCTCCTCTGAGAAGGGCAGCAAGTGTATGTCCAAAGGCTTGCTAGATTTGTCAGCACAAGTCACCACAGCGGCCCCAGAAAAGTCAATAAATCTGTTGCAAAATTGCCCACAGTGTTCCTGCTGCTGCTGCTGTATTCCTCCTACCCCAAAACAAATTGAGAATCATTTTGAATCTAATGCACTTACTTACTGCATTGGCCAGAAGCGTCATGATCATTTTGCCGTACTTTCAATAAAGACGGACTTAAAAGAAAAACAACGCTTTGCAAACAGAAAGCTACCAGTCGTCTCAGTCAGACAATCGTATAGGGAGACTCGTAAAGCCTCAACAAAATCTATTGCTCATTCTTAAGGCAGGAACGATCAATAATGAGCACAGCAGTGGGACTGCCTGTCAAACACCAGCAATTTGGGGAGTAAAAAGTTGAAAAAGCATACCCGAAAAACAAGTCAATACCAGAACAGTTGGATGCATACTACCCTCCCAAGTCTGCTGAGATGGACTCCACGTCCCTGAACAGGAGAAGCGGCACCGTAAAAGGACGGATGGATAAACTGCAAAGAGACTTCTCCCATCTCCTATTCTAAGCATAGTTTGAAGCGGTCCTTCACACTCCACAACGATGAACATATTTTATTATATATCCAAGTAAGTAGTCAATCAAAATGAAGCCTCGATGCATCCACGTTCTAGGCCATATCCTGAGTTTAAGTCAACCTAATGTGTGCCGTAACAGCGCTGGACAGCCCGAAATAAATAGAAAGTGAATCGCTATTGCTCTCGACTGGAAGCGTCACCATCCAAAAGCCATTAACAGTACAAGCAGTTTTGGTACATTTATCCTTACCGCCATATAAATGTATCTCGAAAAACCGAGTTAACGAGTTTTCGGCCTGACGGTCCTTTCAACAGGAAAGACCAAATGGCACGATGAGCAACAGGTGCGACGCTGGAGGAGAAGCCCTCCAATGCCACCTGTTGGTCACAAATGGAACAGATCCCATGCCAAGTGCCATGTTCCGACTGTCTTTCAGTCGGAACATGAAAACAGTTACCCAGCTTCTCATAATCACCTTCTCTTTATTTATCACACGCTTAAAAAAAAAAACAAACAAACAAACAAACACTAACAAGTGTTGCTTGCCTGATTTCCAAACGTATATGTTATTTGTAGATGGTAATTCCGGGCCTTTGATTAAATATGAGAATGAGTTCTGTGGAGTATTGTGACTGATATGGCCCAATGCAATGAAGAGCGGGGACCGTGTTTGTGTGTCGGAGCTGGAGTCTGAAATGGAGTCATGATCCAGCGTGCTGGCAAATGCTCATTTCCATTTTGATGAACAAAGCATCAGCCAAAAATCAATTAGGACACAAGACTAGTCAGGAAATTGAAAGAAAGGAACAAGTGTCAAGACAGACTAATTATTTGTACTTATCAATTGCAAGTGGCGTCACGTAGGTCGAGTTGAAGAAAGTCATCTCTGTGTGAAAGCAGACATTCAATCAATGTCCTTCATGACATTACTTCAAATGTAATAGAAACGTTCAATATTTTAATTTTATTCAACTACTGGTACCTTTAAAAACAAACAAAAAACGTTTTCTGACCATAACCATAAACGAGCTGTGGAAATCAGTGCTCGAACATGCAATCAACTTTTTAACATTCATGCGCCGGTGAACCAAAGTGTCCCGCATTAGCGATAATGTGGTCTCCCTAATATAGCCGTCCATATAGAGCAGTGGTGCCCAAACTTTGCCCTGAGGGCAAATTGCGGCCCGCCATCCATTTTTCAGCGGCCCGCAACATGGCCGAAAAAAAAGATATTAAAAATGACATTTGACATGGGCCGCCATGTTAATTAAAAAAGGTGAAGGCGGGCAGAGGGAGAAGGGAGGTTATCTGAAACAGGGACCATTACTCCAAATAGATTTGTTGACATACTGTGGAACTTTTCTCTCTATTCGAAGATACAAATAAAACATTTCTGATCAAAAGAATAACAATTTATCTTCAACACATGAATGATCCTCAAGTAACGGCGAAATGGTCACCTTGCGACAGTTTTTTCTTTTTTTTTTTGATTCTGAATGTGGAGATGGGATTCGGCTACTGTTAAATTAAGCCCTGTGCAGGTCAACATCCCTGTCCCTCTTCCGTTCTTCATCACCCGAGTGTCGGCACTTTGTAGAACTCTAAAGTCTCCATTAAGTTCGCGACCCGTCATCACACTGTCGGGTTAAATGTCCGATACCTCATGAAGCCATTGGAAAACTGTCACCTCCTGAGGCCGAAACATAAACATGCTTTTGAGCGATGCTGAGGAGAGGCGGCCAGATAGAAAGCGCCACCAAGGGATGAAGCGAATGAGAGGAAAAGAGAAGACGTAGGTGAGCCCTTTGCTTTCATCAGTATGCTGTGGCTGTCAAACCGTTGGTGACCCCTGCTCTACGTCGCAAACACAGTCGATTCAGGCGGATGGGCCAAAATCTGCACTATTAATTAAGAGGAGACACTTACTTACCGTCGGTGGCTTATTTAATAACGCCCCCTGAAACTTGGCTGAGTGCCTTTGTGTCAGTAGCAACTGCTTTTTTTTTGTTGTTGTTGTTGATATGCAGGTCACAGCTAATGTGGGAGCCTGCCGCCACTCCTTTGCCAATAGCTTTCTCGTTTCCTCTGCAGTCGGTCATGTAAAATATCATGCGCTGCCCCCAATCCCATCACAGGACCACACATCACACTGCCAACCTCTTGAACAGGCAGTGTGCTCATCTAAGATCGAGAACTACTTCAAACACCTCACTTCATTTCTCTGAAGATGTCAAAATCACACACAGCTGACCGTCCCTCTCGCCTTTTCCACCTTTTTGTACGTAGCCGTCTCATAGAAGCACGTTTGACAAATTCCGATTCCTTGGGAACAGACGCTTGTGATTATGCAAATGGTCACTTTGGGATTGAGTGCAATACGACGCTTTGTTGTCGCGGTCTCCCGCGCCTTTTGCAAATGTTTCTTCATCTCTCTCTCCTTGATGTTCGTCTATTTCAGGGGCAGACATGATCAACTTTGATGGACAGGGTGTGATCTCGTATCGTTTCAAGGTAAGAGTTGTTTTCAATCTGCGAAGGGCAGAAACGTACAAAGTCAAAATGTTTGACGCGCGCCATCGCGCAGTGACGCGCTCATTTGGGTACGCTGCGGAGTTGGGGGCTGGTCAAATCTTGCTTCGGAAAAATGCCATCGCGATGATGGATTCCTTTGTAGGCGACAGACATCAAAGCAAAAGCTTCTGCTGTGTGTACTGCGTCTAGGTGAAGAAGATGAAGCTCATCAAGGACGTGATCGCACTAAGGTTCAAGACGTCGGAGAGCGAGGGGGTGATTCTCCATGGAGAGGGCCAGCAGGGGGACTACATCACCTTGGAGCTGCGCAAGGCCAAGCTGCTGCTGCAGATCAACCTGGGTGGGCAACACAGCAAACACGCTTACTTGTGCTTTGTATTTTTTCCGCATAGAACTGGCTGAAGGTACCCCGGCAGATCACGTTCCGTCTTATCGGTGTCGCTCTGAAAGGCCGGTTCCGCTTTTCTCAGACTATCGTCACATGAATTCCAGGCAGCAACCAGTACGGCTCTATTCTGGGTCATACCTCGGTGACGACGGGCAGCCTCCTGGATGACAACCACTGGCACTCGGTGGTGATCGAGCGCTACCGGCGCAATGTCAATTTCACCCTGGACAGGCACACTCAGCACTTCAGGACCAACGGGGAATTCGACCACCTCGACTTGGACTATGAGGTAATTCGCATGTATGGACGCTACGGATACGCAGTGTATGCGCCGATCCGTCCTTAATTCAATCATTGCCGGTATCGTGGTCGAGTCTGCCATTACTCTTAACCGAGGGCAAATATTCATACACTTTGTCATTTTGAAGGACAATCAGGCCAATACACTCGAATGAATGAAGAAAGAACCTCTAATAAGACTCATCGTATATCACCCGCGAACAATGTATGCAAATTCATACGTAAAGATGGCAAATACATCTCAGATAGTTTGCATATTTTTATGAAAGTTGGCTGTCTGTATGCAAATGTTCCAACTTTGAGCTACTCAGCGATGCCCTCCGCTATCTCAAGAGTAAAATGATAGCACCCAGGAAATTATATATTGGCTTTACGCTGAGCTAATACGATGCTAATCCATAACATTCACGTAATTAATGTTGCTTAGTAATGGGATGGGGCACAATGGGTTTGCATAATAATCCTTGTAACCGGAAATTGATTTTTCTTTGGAATGTGCGCGTGGGGCGAGCGCTCTTTGTGTGTGACGTGATTACAGGCCGGCGTGTATTTGCTTTTGTGACCAATGTGTGGCTGTATTGAGAAGTATGTTTGTGCGGGTGACCTGAACCCACTATCGCTGAGAAAGTTCATCTCTTGCACTGCCAAGTCAGACAGCGAGGACCGAGGCAGGGCAATTAAAGTGAGTCTGCTCAATTCAAGGCTCTTCAAGGAAATCCATACCACAGAGTCAGAATGTGACCTCATTTGAAGGGGAGAGAACTTTTTTCCCCCCTCCCCAATCTATTTCATACTGACAATACAGCACATCAATAGCTAGATCGATTGACAAAAGAATAGTCTCGCCCGCTTGTCTGACCAACTGATGTTCTGATGACTGGTCAGCTGACTTCTTTTGCTTGAGAACCAGTCTGGTCTTTTTGTGAATCAGGCCCAGCCTCTCATGGACTGCATCGGAGCACTGCGGTGTGTTCTTCCCAAAGGGGAAAAAAAAAAAAAGACTTTCTCGAACGACCATAAAACTAATAATAGCCAAACACACCAGAGCCGTTATCCAACAGTGACGCCAACTGAACATAACAATGTCAACTGCGATTGAACATTTTATCCTCCTCCTTCCTCCCAAGTTGAGCTTCGGGGGGATGCCATACAGCGGCAAACCAGTCGGAGGTGGGCGCAAGAACTTTAAAGGCTGCATGGAGAGCATCAACTACAATGGAGACAACATTACTGACCTGGCCCGAAGGAAGAAGCTGGACACCTCAAGTTTTGTGAGTCAAATGTGCCCAGCTCACATTGTGCATCTCATCTTTCTACAATTGCAGCTCTCAACGACTGCAATCGATAATACCAAACACATGGTTAAATAGCCGAGCACTCACCCAAAACTTGAAATGCAGTCACATGTATTTCGGTATTTTATTTGAGTAGTTATGTATTCCATTCGAGCATATTGGCGCTAAAGTTGTGTGGATCTGTGTTGATCTGTGTTCAAAACGATTTCCTTAAACAAACAGAAGGTGCAATCAAAGTTTCATTGAAGCTGCCGTGGAGATCCTCCTTGACTCACGCAGCTTTCAATTCCACATCATTTCCTTATTCATGTTAGTCTTATGATTGCAATTGACCAATTGACTGCCCCCACCCCCGTCAGATCCTCCTTGACTCACACAGCTTTCAATTCCACATCATCTCCTTATTCATGTTAGTCTTATGATTGCAATTGACTGTTGTTTTTCCCTCTCTCTCTCTTTCTCTCTCTCTACATTTACATGTTCACAGCGTAACCTGTCCTTTTCCTGTGTGGAGACGCACTCCTTCCCCGTCTTTTTTAATGCCACCAGCTTCCTCCAGCTGCCCGGTCGGGCCGCTCACAACCTCATATCGGTGGGTTTGCAGTTTCGTACGTGGAATCCACAAGGGCTACTCCTCTTTAGTAACCTTGACGATGGAACTCTGGAAATGTCACTCGAAGATGGCAAGGTGGTCCTTCACATCAATGTGACCGGGCCCGCCAGGCATTACATGGTGGACTTGACGTCAGGTGAGTCAGCACGTGGTCACGTGCGGATAAGCAGTTAAGCCATACATGCAATTAGGGCGCTCCAAAAATGTTCACATCATTCAAAAAGAATGACTATTTGAGAATCTCGATTTCCTCGGCAAAGCAAATTAAGCATTTTGGAAAATAGTTGGGCTTTTTTTTTCCCCCCAACTCGCATTCCAAAGCATACAACTTTTTAAAAAAGACTGGAAATATTCGCTAATGTTCAATATGCCTGTGACAGACATGACATACATTTTCCTTTTTGTCGTCTACTAATATATGTATTTTTTTTAATTCTTTTTTTTGGTTATGTCCAAATCTCCTTTTCTGTTGTGGTATTTTAATGAACACTTCGGAAATGCACATTGCACTCTTCTTTAACTCCGTTCCAAAATGTTCTTTTCATCATCTCGTGAATGTCATTTTGTACCATCAAAAAGTAAAACATTGATCTAATATTAAAGTTAAATGCAACATTTTTTTTTTTTAACACAACTTCCGTAAATTTACGACCATAACACCCGAGGGGGATTGGCTCTGTTATTCTACGACAAAATTAGGTCACTTTTTTTTTTTCAAACAATACCATGTACTGTTGCTTTTTCTTTGGTTTAATGAAACGATGAGCACATCAGCTCCACCTTGTGGCTGCAATGCAACTTTTGAGGTTGTTTTGTTTTGTTCCTTCCTTGCCTTGCGGTGTCCTACTTTGCTCTCATTTCCTCCCTCAGTCTCCTCCTGAAGACACTCATTTATTCTGCCCACTGCTGCTTTAATAGGCTAACGCCCAGGGGTAGGGATTATTACGGCGTTGCCCTCTCGGTTAATTGGTCTTGAGCCTGTGATTACATCACTATTACTAGAATACACAGATACATAAGCTCACTCGCACGGCGTAGCGCACACTCGCCGACTTTGATTCTGTTATTAGTATGTCTGAAGTCAGCCAGTCTTGCTGGCTTCCGGCGTTCAGTGTCACTGTGGGAGCGCAGGAGACTTCAAATTAAAAGCTTAGTGCCATTGAGTAGCGACACGTAGTCGGGGAGCGACGTAGACGCGCACACATACAGAAGGCACACGTCCTTTGTTCTTTCAGCCAGTTGTGGTCATGTTTTGGTACGTTCTCATCTGGGAGGGACAACCCAGGATCCGTTGGAGAGACAATGTCTCCCGGCTGGCCTGGAACAGGAACCTGGGGAGAGGGAAGTCCGGGCTTCCCGGCGGAATGGATGTTCTGAAATCCCCTTTTCAAGCCAGTGTTGGAATGATGAGATCATGTTATGCAGTAGTTCTTTCGACGACAAACAGACTACAGTAGTTGAGACTCGAGCAACAGCACCTCTGCTGATTGTCTTTGATTCTGAACAATGGATGAATCGATTGTGCTGTATTCAATAAAATCCCTATTTGCTGAAAGAAGAATCACCTTATTAAAGTACAATTCAAATCATTCTACATCATACTTTCCTCAGCCAATGTTCCCGCGTAGTCTTTCCGCCAAAACACCAAACGCTTTCCTCTCTTTTGCAAGCTTGCTAAAGCGACATAAAACACACACATTTTGCCCGTTACGATCCCACATGATGCGAAGTCACTGAATCATACCATTTTATAACCTTCAAAATGTCCTTCTGGTTCAAGGCTTCTCTGTCGTGCAGTAACTCTGCTAGTTCACGTGACACGGTGGATGATAAAACAAGACACACGCCGTAATCATTCCCAGAAGGACTTCAGCAGCAAATCTAAACTGTAAAAGTGTGCTTCTTATGTTGCCCGCTCTCCACAACAACAAAAAAATGACCTCAGAGGACGTATGGTTTGACACGGTGATGTGAGCCGTCAACCTCGAATTACTTTCAATCCATTTGTTTTGATCCATTTGTTCAAATATATATTATTATTCTGCAGCTGAACAAAACAGTGAGTCACTCCTTACTCAGCTTTTCGAGCGTAACTGCGAACCACTCAAACATCCTGCCGCCCTCCATAGGCAATGCAATTAGATTGTTCTTTTATTCTCCCTGGTCAGGAGTTTCTCGTCAATCCAACAGTATGCATCCATCCATCACTTCGGCCCATCTCTCATTTAGCGTTGTGGGGCGTTGGAGCTTGCCCGAGCTGACTTTGGGTGAAAGGCAGAAGACACCCCTGAACTGGTTGCCAGTAAGTCACAGTGAGGATAAGCAGTTGGGCGATAGAATTCATTCAAAAAATAACACAAATACTGATTTTTGCTGCACGCATTTTCCACTTGATAAGTACTCTAAGTAGTAAAAATCAGAAAAATCTTTTTTGTTTTTTTCCCCCCTCTGTAGCCACAGTGTAAGGTGAATGGTGTCCAAGCTCTCTTGCAACCGTGCATATTGCACGTTGAAGCACTTCACACACCATAGTTTCAAGACTGATCATCACGTATCCTGTCCAGCGAGCTGCTTGTAATTTCCGAATGGTGTTTGAAACAAAATCCAAGGGGACAGGTTGGGGTTGTAAAAGAAAATGAGGAGGAGTGTAGCGCGGCGATGAAGAAAAAGCTCAACATTTCTGATAACATCCAATCAATATTTCTTGGTAAGCCGACTCTGGCTGCGGTGGGTCCCAGCTCATTAAAATTGTTATTTGTCACTAGAGGCAGAGCCCAGATACAGGAAATCTCCCCCTCTGCAAAGAACACACGCAAAGCAATTTCTTTATGCACAACATAATCAGAATGCGACTGTGATGTGCTCTTCTGGATGTGGCAGTAAGAGTTTCCCCCTAAGGCGGTTTGTGACCTGTGGAAAGGCACGCCTCTCCTCTTCTGACAAGGCAAAAAAAAAAAAAAAGAAGAATGTGAGAGTGCATTAATAGAGGCTACTGCTTGTGATTCCAAAGGGAACGCTGCTCTAATTTTCTGATCGCCTTCCCCTTTTACTTACTTCTCTATACGCAGCACGCAGAAAACCTCCTCGAAGGTCTTGAACTGACGCTGCGGCTGCAATTACACGACAGGTCTCACTTCCTATGTAGTCCCTGCAGCCAATTTTTGGACTTTTTACTTTTGATTGACTGATGGACACGTTTACATTTCGGGAGAACCTGAAACAACCCGCATGAACACATGACCCGAAATGCACATAGACAATGTGAAAAATTCATCCACAGGTGCTCGGCACGCAGACATAAACAAACGACGATAACACGTACCCTGCGAGATCAATGTCGGATTCCTATTCGTTCCAACTTGATTGGCTGTGGCGCTCCCATGCTGAGCTTGCTCATTGGTCTGATTGTGACCGGGGTTTTTTTTTTTTCCGTCTTCTTCCCGATTGTTTTCTTTTTACATCTAAAATATCAGCCGTTCCAGCATTGTGTATTGGACGCACAGTCGCAAAATAGGGAGGTAGCCCTTAGGATCATTGATTGCAACCACTGTGGCTTTCGATGTGAGCTGCTGCCTCGTACAAAAAAAAAAAAAAAGAGGTAAAACATTGTTCGAAGCTTGAGTATGAATAGGAGGGTAGACACAAAGTGTTAGCGGCATAACACCGTACTTGGACTACGTTGCAGATGTTACAAGCGTGATCGTTGTGTCTTGAGAACGGTGAACATTTCTTTTCTTTTACGATGCAACAGGCCCCCAGCGTCTCAATGATTTAAGCTTTAGTGTGTGACACAGAGAGACGTATTCGTGGATATATGATGCGGTGTGTGCGTGCGTGTTCGCGCCGCGGCGAACTCACGCAGCCGTCGCAGATAAACTCATCGTTCGTAGCTGTTGCAGGTGATGTAGAACAGATGAGGGGACACCGAGTGACACAGGATGTATTTTCCATTACGTTCAAGAGGTGGCGGGATGCAGCGAAGCCTGATAGTCAGCCCCTCACAGTACAAATCATCAGGGGCCACATCAAGGTCCACATGCCACACACTTTTTATTTGTCTTTCCAATGAAAAAAAAAATACTAAAACAAAAAAGGGAACCAATGAAAAGGGAAAAAAAAACCCACAATTAAAGTCGTTCTCTGTTGAATGGTTTGTGTGGCGTGATAATGCAAGATCATAGAGGAGTCCCGCCCCCTCGAAAACAAAAAAGGGAACCAATGAAAAGGAAAAAAAACCACAATTAAAGTCGTTTTCTGTTGAATGGTTTGTGTGGCATGATAATGCAAGATCATAGAGGAGTCCCGCCCCCTCAGCAGGTGGCTATCTTTGCTCAGAGCTCCCACAAGAATGCGCGCGGTCTCCCAGAAATTGCAATTGAATAGGTGGACACACCCCACTGAGATGAAAGCCGGCAGCCTCTGTATCCATACGCAGGGCGGCCTCACACAACAAAGAAAGCACGCTGGCATCAGGTTTGCGGTTGGCCACACCTTGAACTCCGTTACACTGCCGGCATCTGCCGCGCTTTCCAAATAAATGGCAGTCGGTGAAGCGGCGAACCAGCCGGATTTAGAAGACAGACGCAAGGGCGGAACGTTGCACGGAGCGGTGACGTGCAGGAGGACAACGGAGAAGGATATAAAGATAGAGAGACAGGATCAAGAATCAGGGACCGAGAGGGAGGGAGGCAGGGAAGGAGGCAGGCCTGCAAGGATGAGTGGAGATTGGTGTCACTAAGAGGTGATGTATCGAGGGGAAGGTGATGAGAGTGGGCCGGCTTCTCTTGCAGCTTCGCTGGTAATATCCCTTTCCAAAACATCGCTCATATTTAATGGAGCACAGCTCCACGGAAGGAAGCGAAGGAAGGGAGGGTCGCATGCAGGCAAACAAAGGTCTCCAGTGACATGCGGCGTGCAGACTCTTCATACAAAGCCTCGCAGCTTGCAACTGCAGACAGAGAACGGGCACTCTGCCACTGTGAAGGCAAAGAGCTGATTTCAGACGGAATGGATTTGTGACGCAGGCTAGAATCGGGGAGGACAACAAAATGTTACAGCGCAACAAGAAAACACTTAATAGGGAGCGGTAATGGACAATGTGACTTGAAATGGGGGTTGGTTCTAAGCCGGGCGGAACGGCGTCTCCGAAGGAAGATGGCGTCGGGGAAAAAAGACGCGGGAGGCCGTAGTAAGGTCAGGGATGACAGGTTACTAATCGTGGATTTGCTAGCTGGCCACTTATTGAGACCATCCCGTTTTTCATCAACCGTAACATAGAACCGTTTGGTTTTGTAGGTGGTGCTGCGGCGCAATACAGTACAGACGAAAAAGCTTACGTCCCCAAAATTGTCCTTCAAATGACAGCAGATGATATTAATAGCAACTCTCGCTGATGTTTGTTTGTTTTTTTCCATTTGTTTATAGAAATAAACATTTGTATGTACCAAACGAAGAAGGCGTCAATCCAAATACAGTAAAACACAAATATCCAGTGTGGAAAAACACCACTCAAACGGTTTCCAAGGAATGGCCACTGTTGTCGTGTACATTCGTGGAGTTTAAGATACAACATTACAGCTGTGCCGTCAACATATCTTTGCATGTGAAGCAAAGGTGTCCGACGGCGTGAATCCATTTGTCGCGTCTGGAGATCGAAGCTCGAGGACGACGTGTTGCCGTGTTTCCTGGCGCAAGTTTCGAGAATTTCAGACATCCTTTTTGTTTCATTTTGCCGCCCTGTTTTGTCTTTGCCGCGCAGGCTCGGGCCTCGACGATGGCCAATGGCACGCCGTGCGTTTGGTCGCCAAGGAGAATTACGCCACCTTGATGATAGATGGCGACGAGGCTTCTGCCGGCCGTTCCACGTCGCCACTCTCAATCACCACAGGAGGAACGTATCACCTGGGAGGTAAGGAAACAACATTTTCTCCGTTGGATTGCTTTCTTTTTTTTCCCTGCCAATATTGCATGACATCCAATGTTAAAAAGCCGGAATACAAATGATGAATAGACGTATCGCTGCAGTGAAGAGACCATTTGTTCGAGAGTGTGTCTCTCCGATTTTGGAGTGTGAAAAGCATCTCCCCAGGCTCAGAAGCTGCCATGGCACATCGCCCTTGCGCCGCTCACTTATCGGCGTGGGCGAGCTGCTTGGAATCCAAGCGACCTGGTTATTCTTTTGGAGGGGTCGATTGGTCCAAGTGCCCCGCTGGGACAGATGCTCCCTCTTGAAGATTTCTTTGAGCGGGAGTGCGGTTTTGGTCAGGGGGAGAAATCAGTAGACGGGAGTGTTATCGTCGCTCCCCCACCGTCCGGGGCCTTCTCTTGCATCATTGGATAGGCGAGCATCCTGGCGAGTGACCCTCCTCACCGCGAGTCAGATCTTGTTCATTCGAATTGCAATTTCCTTCGTGAAGCTCGACGCTAATATGCCTCAGAAGCGTTAGAAGGAAATTAGTGGTGATACATTGAGCTACGGCCCCAGATGACGCCGATGGTATTACCTTCGTGCCCCATAGGGGAATTGGAAAAAAAAAAAAAAAAAGAAGCCGCAGCAGAAAGACCCCTGCGAAAGCCGATTGATACATTGCGGAATCTTCAAAGTAGAACATGCTCTATCATTTCAAAACACATTTTCTGACATATTTCTCAGCGTTTTAACATCTCCAACCGTCAAAGAAGAAGTATCGAGACAGGTTAAATAAAGGCGTTTGTAAACGGAGCGCGTGGCTATGTCGGGTTAACGCGATAGATAAGCATTGTTAGCTGTGCTTTTGCGGTGCAGTGAAGATGTTTATCGGCGAGCTTATTTGATCATTTCCTTTCTATCTTTCATCGTTTTTCCAAAGAGCGCAGGTCGTTCCTTGATGCTGTAGCTTGGCGCAGTGCGGGACGGTGTGCAACAACAATCGCTTACTTGAAATTAGCCTTTGATTTCCCCCTTGTTTCAAAATGTTCATTTTTCTCTTGAAATGAAAACAATAAACCATCGAAATGGCCAACGTGTACTAAAGTGAGGAACAATGGTGGAATGCCAACTCAACTGCTATTGCTTGCTCCCCTCCTCGAAACTCCCAAACACTGTGGATTGTCTTTTGGGGGGGCGGAAATTGCCCAGCAGTGGTGTTTCCAACCTCACTTCTTCTCAAAAGGATGATATTGATGCTTGTGACTGTGACCTGTCGGTACCCTAAAAAAAAGGCAACATCATGGCTGAAAAAGGAAAAGATGCTGTCGGCTCGGCATGCAACTTTTACACAAAATGTAGGATCCTGATGAACAGAAAGCCCACCATAAGGTCTTTGCAAGAGAATGTTGCAATCTTCCACTCAACCACGAGTTATGAAAATATTTCATGGTAAACAGTTTCATAAGAATTCACTCCAGGCAGCACCAAGGTGATTGAAACATTGTCTTTTCATGTCAACTTAAAAAAAAAAAAGAAAAAGAAAACCCTGTCTGTAATTGCCATTTTGTTTTCTCCAGATACGACCCCCCACCCCACACTCCCTTCATCCATTTTATCCAGAGCTTTGAGCCCATTCTCCAGCTCCTGCCTTGTTTGGTTTCCCATCCCTCTTTCTCCAAAAGAATGACCGCACTCTGCTGAGCACAAAGCCCATTTTACCGGACGTAGCTTCTCACTGCTGTCACTGTTCTTAGTGAAATTAGCGAAAGTGGCATGAGGCATCCACAAAGTGAATTCCTCTCCTGGCAAGACGGATGGACACCCACTGAATTTGGAATGCACATACACAATGCAATCAAGAGGGAAAGAAGACGGGGCATGTACTGTGCAAATGAGATGAGACATCTTTCTCAGTAACAACATGGTAGAAAAGTCATTTGATGAAATGATCACATTTCATTCCGGCTGAGGCTTAAGCTAAATACAAGGTGAAGGTGTGACAAAATATGTGTGTTCATTTGTTTGTGTTGGGGTTTTGTTTTGTGTGCGGCGTGGCCTCTTGATGACTCTAAATCCTAAAAACGTCCCCTGACTTACAGCTGTCATTATGCAAATTTCTCTCAGGGAAGCTAATCCTGTATTTGGCTCAAGTTGTTGTTGTTTTTTTTTTTTTGTATATTTAGATGCATGTCACTTCCCATCCTCTTCCTCCTGACTAAATATTCCAGCTCTGCGTCAGGAAAATATTTTATCGCAAATGCCTCACTTTAAAACTGTCGCCAGTCGGGTGGGGGAGTTGGTTAAAACATATTTGGGTTGTCAAAAAGCTTCCATGTATACACAGGCAAACAGTGAGACTTCTGCTTTATTTTTACGGGGCAAGAATTTATAATTTTTTTATGCATCATGGGATTAATTATTACTCAACATCCGCACAGTTGTGCGAGCAAAATGAGCTGGTACGCACGTGTCATGAATCACACGGTGAATTTGAGGCTATGCTCAACTTATGCGCAGAGGAATAACATTGCTTCGCATTTATTAGTCACTGCGGCCCGTTGTTTCCTTCATTCTGCCAAACCGTCAGCCGAGCCGCATCACCTTTTTGCATTTGAATGCTACCCAAAGGACACAAAGTGTGCTGCCAGACAACTGTAGTACGTGTGTTCTATTTTCAAACTTATCTCACCGCTTCAGTCTCTGCCACCACCCTTTTTCTCACGTCTGTCGACGATTTCGGCGGTGCGCTAGGCAGCTGCGCAAGGAAGCAGTCGACGCAGATGGCAAATCGGAAGTTGTGGGGAAAGATATGAAAATCAAGCCGAGACAGATAAATACACACACACACAAACACACACTGGCAGACATTTTCCCTCTGTGCTGCTCATACACCGTATAGTTGCATCAATGTTCAGTACATTTGCACCAGCGTGCAAATGTAATAACGTTGAAAAAAGATATATTGCAACCGTTCTGCTTGCAAGCTGCAATTGCAGACTGACGACTGCTAACACCTTCCCTTGATGCAGATCGTGCGCCACCGTAGGTTCAAGGTGACCCACTTTTTTTTTTTTTTTTAAATCCTTTTTTTTGTGAAAATTTTGGGTGCTTAAGGCGCACCCAAAATTTCCCCCACATTTCCCCCTAGACGCCTCGCAATTGACTTGGGACCGGTCGGTGGGCTATCGGTGGATTGCGATCAACGTATTGCTGAGACGTATTGTGCCTTAATCTGCTTCAAATGCCAAACCGAGACAAACATTCAACCAAACAAATGCCGATTCACTGCAGCCATGTGTTTCAAACCCACCAAATGATAATTGTAGGTGTCTATAATCTGTTTGGTTTGCTCTTCTCGTAGGGTATTTTCTCCAGACGCTTTTCCCGCCTTCTCAACGCTTCTTCCAGGGTTGCATGCAAGCCATCGTAGTGGATGACCAACCGGCTGATTTGCATGCTGTGGAGAAAGGCACAGTTGGAGCTTTTGAGAACGTCAGCCTGGACATGTGTGCCATCATTGATAGGTAAGACACTCTTTTCGAGTTCGAGTGCTCTCATGTAGTTTGAGCTCTTGCATTCAATTGCAAATTTGCTGTCATCGTGCCGATACTGTGCATGAGATCTCAACCGAAATGCGCCACAATTGTGTACTTGGCTTTTTCTTCTGTGAACTTCTTACCGTTCATATCCAGCGACATAAATGAGGGCATGCTAAGTAGGCCACTCTGTGGTCAGCAATAACGCGTTTCCTGCCCTTGCTGTTCACTGTGCTGTCCCTTTCGATTGCCTCAACGTGTTTGCGTGGTCCCGCAGTACTTGCTTTGAGGCTTATTGCGCCGCGGAAGATGAATGAATGGAGCGCGACTCGCGAACTAATCAGAACGTCTTTGAAGGCTGCTCAAGAGGCCTGTCGGACCCACGTTTGATCAATGCTACTCCGCCGGGCCCAACAGCACACGCGCATATAACCTAAGCCTCACTATGATGCTACTGTACTGTGTAGAATAGTCTCGGAGCGAAGCTATGATTATTCCACTCGTGTCTTCTATTCATGTACTCGAATGTTCAACAATAGTTGAGACACATCTGTGCAGATTGACAAATTCTTGAGATCCAAGCCTTCTCAAACATTGTGCGTCATTTGAAAGGATTCAATCTAGCAATAGAAATACCGTTGTTGACAGGGGCAAGTGTCGAACCCAATTGCAGCATGCCAGTCTACAGGAATAGGTGGAATTCATTCATGACTTTTGGATATAAACTGTAATAAGCCCACAGGCAACACAGCTAACTTTCCAATCCAGATAAGGAGTCTGAAAATCAGGAAGGGGATCGGGAGCCACTTTGTGCGTTGCTTCATAACCCATGGACAGGAAAGAACAAGTGGAGAAAACAACAAGACATCTCACAGCCACGGGGACAGGCAAACATGCTAAGGCGGGATTCGCAGTTGGGGTGAGAAGACTGAGGGGATTCCCAAGGGAACAGGGAGGCAGAAAGGTCGGGGTCAGCAAAGAGAGATCAATCCACGGAAAAGCGGTCGACAGGCTTTCCCGTACGGGCACCTGGTGAACGTTCTCGCAATGAGCGAGTGAGTCATCAAGAGAGCCTTAAATAGACGGAGACGGCTGACAGGCGGAGGGTTGGGGTGGGGAGATCACCGCTGACAAATGGCACCGCGCTGCGACACTCGTCTGCTGAAAACAAAGACGGATTCCACTGAATGGCGCAGCAATGAAGCAAAGTGGCCGTTGTATTTTGGTGATTTTCCCTTGGCTTCACCGCGCCGGTCAGACATTTCAGAACGGGCCATTCCGAACCTGACCTGTGAGGTGACCTGAATAGGGATGTGAGCTTTTTATTGAATTTGCAAAGCATTTGTAAGTTCATTTGATGCATCGGGAGAAGACAAATGTGTGTTTCTTGTGGAAAGTGCTATTTTTTTTTTTTATTACATTATATAATATTTTGTTACCTGGCTTGGGGCATGATAGGGATTGCTGCAGAGATCAATCTGGATTTGACGACAGGAGGCTTTGTGTTATATATTTGGATTGAATTCCAAGTTCATTGTGTCCATTTTGTTGCACATTTTCTTCCACCGCTAAAAGATGACCTAAAAAGCTCCCGCTCATCCCCTCTGCTGCAGATGTATGCCTAATCATTGCGAGCATGGCGGTCACTGTCAACAGACCTGGGATACTTTCAGCTGCACTTGCGATGGAACAGGATACAGCGGCGCCACCTGTCACACTTGTAAGTTGGCCTGGGCTTTTGTGCTGGATCCTAAGCGGTCTTAACCGCTTGTGCTTTATTTTTTTTTTTTTTTCGGGGGGGTTGGCTTTTGTCCAGTCAAAGAATTTCTTCCACCAATTTCTTCCCAGAGTAATTTGAAGTTTTTGGCTTCAACTAGCCTGTAGTATGAAGGTATACCATGCAAGGTTTGCTGGATCTCGAGTTTGATTGCCTCTTGGCAAGAAAGCAGCTTGTAAGTCAGAAATGCAGTTCAATAGGAAGAGAATTCAAGGATAACAAATACGAAAAGACAGGACGGAAACATAAACCGTCATAAAAAAAAAAAAAAAATTGAGAAAGGAAAACAGCGCCTCCATCATGATGGTTTCACTCCAAGAAACACTCCCACATCTCTGGTAATAACTCTTCCACTCATCCCTCTCCTCTCTGTGTGTGTGTGTGCGCGCATGTGTATCCTCGCGACATAGCATCACCGTGTGTCATAAAGATTGCGAGACTGTGTGGGGCAAACCAAGACTTGACAGGCGCTGCAGAGAACCTTGAAAGCACTCCAAATGATCGCCTGGATGATGAATTGCAACATGATCACGCTTTAATCCTTTACATAGACCATAAATTGGTACCTCTGACACACTGATTTTCAAGTTGCTGAGCTCATAATACTTAGCTGAGCATTTTAGTAGTTGGAAGTGTTTGGATTGATCTCATTGTTTTATGACCTTTGTCTTTCCCAGCTCTCTATGAGCCATCATGTGAGGCCTACAAGCATTTAGGCCGGTCCTCGGACACTTACTGGATCGACCCTGATGGCAGCGGACCTCTCGGCCCCCTCAAAGTTCATTGCAACATGACAGGTTTGTACAGGAAGCGCCTGTGCGCTGTGTATAAATGCAGCTTTTATTTTGAAATATTTTGATCAAAAATGCAGACTTCAACCCGAACAAAAGATGGCATCTATTTTAGGACAAGCGTTTATTGGGCCAAATGGACAACACACTCGGATACTCGTTGAGGCGTGCTGTTTATTCGAACAGAGGCCCCGAGCTGACGATGTACACTATCTGCTCGCTGTTTTGGATCGTTGACTGTGTTTGATATGATACAAATCTTTCATATCATATACTGGAAGCAACAAGAAAAAAAAAAGGAAACGTCGGCTCTCTTACAAATCCGAGTGAGACCTTTTATCTCCCGGCCACAAATACCAACGCATTTCACCTGCCTGCCTAGCATGAACACAGCAAACACATACACACGCACGCACGCACGCATGCACACACACACACACGCACACACACATGTGCAGAGTGGAATAATTAGATTGCGTGGAACAGCGCGGCACACGGGTGCAAGAGCAAAAGGGGCGCTTTTCATAAAATGTCACCGCACTCCGCTGGCTAAGCCCTTAGTCACACTGAATTGCACCCTCGCACACATACCACCGAATGTTAAGTTCCACTTTCCCCTCCATGAGCACACACCTTCGAGGCCTCAAATCCAGCCACACACGCGGCGACACGCACGCCTACCTTGAGTGGCGGTATGAGTGAGCGGGGATACGTCTTGAGTGACAGCCTCATGTTACCCGAGAACTGAAGTGTCTATTAAACCCTGCGGTCTCCGAGCCGTAACTTCCCAGAGTTCGGAAAGAAATTTACTCTTGTGACAGCGAAACTGTCATTGACTGTGTACGTGCGTCATCCCATGTATTTTGGTTCAAACAACATGTTGTCCTTGACCTTGAGGTCTCCTTGATCACAGAGGAAGGCAATCGGACTTTCTGTAGGTTAGGAGTGACTGCATGACTGGCCACTTTTTGGGTAGTACCGGTCGACTTTTTAGGTTTGACATGCTAATGCTAAGCAGACAATTGTCATGGAAAATTGAAATATGCTGTTGTTTTCGATGAGGATGTGGCGATGTACTGTTGTAATAATGTTGTCCAATTGTGTGCGCGTTTGTACAGAGGACAAAGTGTGGACTGTCGTCACGAACAACCTTCCGCCCAAAACGACAGTGACTGGTTCCAGTCGAGAAAGGCGCACCATCCTCCAAGTCAACTACAGTGCCTCCATGGACCAGGTCCGACAAACACACATGCCTCCAAAGTGGTTTCTTTATTTGGTTCCTCCCCCCGGTTGCCGTAAACAAAGGCCAGACTCGCGCCCCAACCCTATACACTCCATAGGGCACATTTATCGTAAGGGCCAGAGAATATTCCTCATGTGGTGGGCGGCATTAAACCGGCATCCATTTTGGGGTGGCACATGACGCTTAACGTTTTATCAAATGGGCATCTCTAAAATCCGAGAAGAATGAAACCATCTATGAACTGCAACTTTTTATTGTTTACCAATCTGGTAGTCTTGAAATGATCAAATAGACGTTGATTGTATGAGCTACTTTCAATGAAGGCAGTGCAGCATTACTATTCAGACAGTATACGTTTACCCCAGCAACGCTCGTCTTATTTTCTCTTGAAATATCTCGAGCACAGACAACCTGCAAAACAGCCTTTTAATAATGAATGGATCATAACAAAGAAATTGCATATGTTGAATTAGAATATACGGAACCCCTGCAGCAACGTATAGTATATTTATTAGCCATTAACGTCTCTGGCAACAGTGTAGTCGGTAGAAAGGAGTATTCACAAAGTCAATTGCAGGGACTTCGCTCATCTTGACACTTTGAATAGAACGCAGTTTGCTCAGTCCGTTGTCAGCCGTGACGATATATACAGAATTGATACACTGTACCGCGGATATAAAACGTCTCTAGACACCCCTGTTCAATTTCAGCCAAGCAAGTGGGGGAGTACTTTGGGGGCTAGTGTCGCATGCAAATATCGAATTCCCAACCAGCCACAAAGGAAGTGGCAGCTGATCATTGCGCTGACAGCCGAAAACTTCGAAAGCGGGGCTGACCAAACCTTTTCATTTGAGGGTCACTTCTGTTGAAAAAAACTGACAGTACTCTAACGCTGTCGCCAGCACTACAAGAACCTTGTTTAACTACCAGGGCAAAGGTGTTAAACTAGCACCGTGACGCTCATCTTGCCAGAAAACTATTTGGATGAAATAATTTACTCTCCGGCCTGAAGCAGGAGAAGACCCCTCATGTCCACCTGCCCTGAATTTCATGTTCTTACATTCACTGTGCAGTCAGGTGCATTTCCCCCACTGGTGTTTTCCACCAGACAGGCTTTGAAAGGCACACATCATCTCTTTAACCACGCTCTCACTTTGTTACTCCTCGACTTTCACGTTCCAAGCAAACCCAATTCAAACTACAATTATTTTCATTGTGCCACCTGTGGAAAAAAAAAAAAAAAAAAAAGACAGGGAAAAATGTTTTAACACAAAATGTATCTGTCCGATAACATGATCACACACACACACACACACACACATTTTCATGCTCCTTTTGGTTGCAGGTGACAGCCATCACCACCAGCGCAGAACATTGTGAGCAACGAATCACATACAGCTGCCGGAAGTCCAGACTGCTGAACACTCCAGGTATGCTATCGCTGTACGCATCGTCTTTTTATTGTTTTACTTTGTCAGAATGCAGAAGAAGAGGTTTTGGTACTCAAAACATCGCAACACTTGCTCTCACAAGACGATGAACTGCCCGAGGTGCATAAAGTAACAAAATAAATTGTAATTAGCGCAAACTGGTGGTCTGTCAGCGGTTGTTTCAGTTCAAAAGTGCAACATTTGCCAACCCTGGCGAGATTAACTCTTGGTTTATTTGCATTCGATTTGGTTGGATTTCGCCACTGTGTAAATGATCAGCTTTGAGTCCATTTAATTTAGAACAGTAAGTCGTCGCGTCTTATGAAAAAAGATAACGAGGTTTGATTTGTGGCGTTTTAACAGGGATTTATCTTGTGAAAGTGTGATCCTGCTGCAAAGGCAGCAATTTTTAACCTGCAATAAATAATTAAACCAACATCTTATTTAAGGTATTTATTTGCACATGACAATCCGTAATAAGCAACTTGTCAGCTTCACTTTCCACTCTCACACATTTGTAAACAGAAATACACACAGGCATCACCACGAGCACACGAAGACCCACTGTCGGGAATTGCTTCATAACGACAAAACACTGCAGCAATTAGTGGGACTGGGCAGATAGGGAGTTCATTAAACCTGTCAGTGACCAAAAGACACACAAATACACACGATATTCATGGGGTACTCTAAGTGCCTCAGAAACACACACACACACATACACACACGTGGCCTTTCATTGACCAGTTGACTCCTAATTCACTACCTCGTGAGTCGGGGAAATCCAATTACCAGTCTACAGTGACTGAAAAGTTGCGCCAGGAAAAATCATTTAGCCCAAATTTCCCTCTATAAATTAGCTGTCAGCTTTCATCAAAAGACAGAGTCGACAGCATTTCCATTGTGTACCGCAGGCATGCGTAGACACACATACACGCACATATCCTCTTCCACCTGCTATTCTGGACTCTCATCTTCCACGCTGGGGAGTAGGATATTCCGGAGCCAAACGAAGCGTTAAATGGGAATTACGGCCTGCTGCTGGTGACACTTGGCGATTAGGACCTTGCAGAAATACTTCTAATTGACGTAGCCCTCCTCTTTTGTCCGCATGTGCTGGACTGCGATTGCTTTAAGTCAAAAGACACACAGATGCGCACACATTTATGTTTTTGTTATTCTTGATTGTGGGTGGAATAAGAAATGGCGGTACAGAGACACAGCTTGAAGCCGCTGGACTTGCCGGAGTCATATTTCCTCGTTCTCTCCTCGTTCTTGTTTTTCCCCCTTTCTCCTCGTATCTGATTTGAATAAAATCCTGCTACTTTGCTCCTCCAGCATCACCCCCTTACCACCTTTGTCGTGCCAGGAAGTCTGATGACTTCTATGAACACCGTTTGGGACATTATATCCCCCCCTGTGTAAAGTTTGCATGTTCTCCCCGCGCCAGCGTGGGTTTTCTCCGGGTACTCCGGGTTCCTCCCACGTTCCAAATACTTGCACGGCAGGTTAACGGAACACTAAAATTGTCCCTAGGTGTGAGTGCGAGCGCGAACGGTTGTGATTTTATATGCCGAAACGCTTTAACATCTCGTCTGAACAAAATGCCACCCCGTTCATTGTTAAAACGCGGCAGCTCAAGGTGAATATTCTCAGATGGAAATGATCTTTTTTATCTCCCTTCACGCCGGGTGCCAAACACCGTATCGTTCAGGTGTCAGCGGTTCCTTTCATAAAAGGTGTCACTCGGAATCAAAATGTACTGCACATTGATTTAAGATTGCTTTAATGTGTCAGCAACGTTAAGCCACATTTACATCCGGCGGCGGCGTTGCAGTCAGGTCAGCTCAGCACAAGCCATTTGAACGCAACAGTAGTACATCACGCACTCGCATTGTGGGGTGAGTAGCCAATCGCCGTGGAAACGGCGTGCAGTCAACAGCTTGTAGCCTGCCAATGACGCAGCAAAGGGGAACAACGGAGGGCATTCCAACATATTGTATTTTATGTCCTTTCATCTCGCCATGTGGCTGCTTATCATAAAAAGAGCAGCTTTGTCTTAGTCAAACTGCATGTTGTATTCTCCTTTTGTGGCCAAAAGCTAATTATTCTGTCCACCAGTTGGAAGGGTCTTGCGCCATCCATTCTAAACACAAATTCGATGAAGAAGACAAATTCATGAATTAAATTACCTATGCCGCGTCGGTATTGTTGCATACCAAAGTGACAATGCAGCTCACGGATAGATAAACGGGACTCATCTTTTTTGGGGGTATCGGGTGATGGGAGTTGCTGGAAGGTAATGAGGCTCTTTGGCGAATGCACTCCAGTTCTCATTTCTGCAGCGCTGCACTCATCCACTTGTTTGTTTGCTCTCATTTGTTCCCGTGTTCGTTATTAACCTTTTCAAATGCACGAACAGGCAAATATTCCCAAGTTCGCGCTCGCTCTTCCTCGACGCTACGCTTTTATATCCAGAAGCTATCCTCACTCTTTAGTTGTAGGAGGGAGTCCATAATGATGTTCATTGTCAGCCCACACAACCCAAAACAATCCAATTCTATAAAAAAATAAAATAAAAAAAAAACAACAACAACAAAAAAAAACTCATAATAATAACACAGTGGTGGCCCTTGGGGGTTTATAGACCTATTTATAAAGTAATTACGATGAGATTACAGCCCTCTAAATATTTTATTCCAGATTAAGCTGTACTAATTGAGGGATCCATGAAATATTTCACTTCATTCAATATTCATTACAACGGGTCATTTTGCTTTGAAATAGAAAGTCAGTCACCTGATGTTGAAAGTGAGCAGACGTGTTTGTGCCCCCGATTGGCCTTTGTTTCATCACTTCATCATTTCGATTTAGCTCCGAACTCATTCTTGTTGTCTTCTGTGTTTGCGTTTGCTCTTCTCGCTCGAACAAGGAGCGTGTCATTGGCCCCGAACTGTTTGGAATTGTATCATTAGGTTTAACTATCCCTTTATATTTGCCGTGATATGTCTTTATGTTGGCCTTTTGGGGATATACATTGTTGCACATCTTTCATTACCTGACTAATGTTCTGGCTACAGTGTCGTTAATTTGTGAGGGTACTTCGGGCATGACGCAAGGTGGGGGCAGAGAGGGGAGCAAGCGTGAATGCTGATTCTTGAAATTCAAGAGGGAGGAGAACTATTAACAGGGTCCTCGGGCATATTTCCCAACCCCCAACATCACCGCAGTGTCTGCCTTACTCCATTTACCCGTTATTGGCAAGAGGCTAATTAACACGACTCGGGCGGTGCAACTAATTCAGGGCAGGGGGGAGGGGGGTGGGGGGGGACACGGGGGTCTTCTCCCGCTTCAGGCCGGTGAGTAGAGTTAAGGCTTTATAAAGCCCGGCAAATTAGCAGATGGAATCGGCTCCCGACCTTTCTGCAGTCTTGTGTTCACCGCTGCTGCTGTCCGACAGCGAATAAGTTCCAAAATGTAGCAAAGAAAGAGAGAAAAGCTGGGATTGGTCACGCAGTCGCTGCCCGAAACGTAATGCGCCGTTTGCTGCTGTGACGCGTCGCCGCTCGGGATAATGTGGTCATATGTTGCGTTGACAGACTTTGTGTCTCACTCTGCCTTGTTGTTGTCAGTCCACCTGAGTGCAACGATTACTGCTCCTCGTCACACAGGCCCAGTATCGCCAATGGCTGCGCTACACTTTACACAACATTAAGCTCGCAGCGTACAGACTTTGCAAGGGCAGCATCTTGCTCCCTTCTCTCTCCGTTTGTTATCACCCTACAGGGATTTATTGAGCTCTTTTTCATTTTTTCCAAGTAGTTATCTTCCAAGATTCTTTCCCTGTATCGCAGCGAGAACGCTACGGGTTTACAATGCAATTTGGCAATTGCTGGCTCCTGGTCCATGTGGGTCAAGAATCAAACCGATCCCCTTTGAGCACTTTCTTTCAGTCGTCAGGCGTTTAGAGATTCCAGTCAAGTCACATTTATTTATGGAGCCCTTCATCAAAAACAGGCTCAAAGGACTTCACATGCCCACAGTTGACGGCTCTTAATGACATGCCCTGACCTTAGACAGTACAAACCAATCGGATTCACAAATCTAGCAAACTACTGCAGACGTACTGACGAGCAACGGCCGTTTCCATCAGTCGCGGGTCGCCGGCATTCGGCTGGCTGCGTTGGCCATTAGCCCGGGGGAGCACGACTGCACGCTCGGTGATGGTGAGCTGCCCGCGTCCGCTGGGCTCCTGATCGTCGACGGACTGCTTTTCAAAAGCAGCGTAACACATAAATATCAATCTGCACGCTAACCTTTGATGCTGACAGTCGAACCCAGTTGCAGTTGCCTACCGATTCATCTTAAACAAATACACGAGATGCAGTCATCATCACGGCAAGTTTGCCCTCTAGTCAAAATGGCTCTGCCCATAAATTTATGAATGCTTCCATTGAATTTTTATTGTAGAGTTCCCTGTTTCGACTAGTAGTGGCAAATAGACCGTTTTACTGCAAAAGAAAGTGTTTTCCACTTTAAAAGAATGAATTGGTAAGCGAAACAAGCTGGTGATTCTCATAATAAGGTGTTCAACATTGTTGAAAATACTAATGAGTTCACATAGTGTGCATCCATTGTGTTATTTTCACTTCGAGGCTGTTTACATCCAAAGTATAACACCAGTCAATAAGAGAGCCCGCAAAATACCAATGTAATCCCTGTACAAATTGTAGCAGTGCGCGCACATTGTTGTTACCAATGTAACGATTTTGTGAGCCATTATATGCCTTTCAATACAACATCAGGCACAAGTCGAAGTGGTCAAGGTGAATTATGGAGGTTCTTCATTTAATATGACACTTTAGAAAGATGCGCGTTGCTGCCTGCACATCGTGAAACACAAGAGCACAGTTCCAACATCTTGCCAACGGCACACACTTTTTCGCAAATTATGCGCTCTACTTATATTTTAGGATGTTTTTTTTTTTTTTTTTTTCAGG